GTTTTATTTAATTATAAAGTCCAGATCCTCCTGCTTTTTGTTACAGGCTTTTTATCTTACTCTGGTCATGTCAAAATCAATTTGTAATTCTGTGGTGTACACATGAAATTAGTTTTAATTTGCTATGTGTTTCCAAGGGTGACTGACATTTAATATTTTCTTCCGAGGGTCTCATTAGTACTGTGTACCCATAATCTATTCTATGGGTGTAATGACAGAGGGTAAGTGAGCTATTGAACAGCATCCATCTGTCCACTTAGCGAATGGCCAGAGGGAAATACACGGAGAAAATAGATGGATAATTGCCAGCATTTGTGTATTATGCAGCTCAGAAAAGTTAAATACAGTACTGTGGGTTTGCTGTGAACTTCAAGGACTTTGGCCCTTCATGACCCAGAAGATGCTTCTTAGCAGTAATTTGTATGTGCCAAGCGATGAGGAAACATGGCAAAACCTGTAGAGGCAGAACTTATTTTCAAGCACAAGAGCAATTGCTGCATGGTCAAAGCAGCAATGTCTTTTATGTCCCTAACTTCAATGTAGCGAAGCAAGTTAATTTTAATCTAGTAACTGCCACCCAATCTTATATCTTGCTGTAGTCCATATGTATGTATGTGGGTACATACCACTTATGGCCATTGACTGGCTTTATTCTTGCTGTCCTGTGAGTGACCTGTCCCAGGGGTTTTGAAGACCTGTATCCTTCTGTAAACCTTGTGTCAACAGAAGCTAGAGAAGAAAGATTATTTTTTCTTCTGTTTTTCATGGGGCCTCTGAAACAGCTGTCTGCTTTGTCTCTAGGCTTTAATGAGCTTGGAGGAAGGGTGGTAAGATAATAAAAAAAAAATCATGCCCAGAAGGCAGGGAAAAGGCAAAGAGAGCAGCACACAGGAGAAGAAGCAAGAGGTGGAAGAGTCCATGAGAAAAAGGAACATAGCAGCAGTAGTGGTGCAGTGTAGCACAAATGAAAATCAACTGGAAGTAGCATTTGTTTATGCCATCAGAAATATTATTAACAAAGGTCTATGAAGTTTTTAAGAAAACCTACCCATTGCTCATGTCCTTGGCTACATCTTTGCCCATGTTCTTTGCCCATGTTCTCACCCTGCAAGGATACTGTAGGTATTACCAGTGCAATTTGAATTAATGAAATTGAGATCTACAGTGGTAATTTGTGAAGAAAGCATGAGTACTGTATTTGGTATTTAAGGAATTAGGGAGGAGTTTATATTTGTCTCCAACTGAAATAAAATTTCCCTGTACTTATTAGCTATAAGTAACAATGTGGCAACTTGCATTTGCAGTTTATAGGGCGTTTTGACTAAAAGTTTGAAGTTGATTGGTTGGAAAGAGGCTTGATACTTAAATTTCATTTAATCTGTTCAGGGAGGGGCTACCACCTTCTTTTGTGTATTTAAATTGCTCTGTACAGTGGTATCCCCACTAACTTAACACATTGTGTTAAATTGAGAGCTTTTTCACTTTGTTAAAACATCATCTGATGTGACTCTATGCTTATTGAGTATTTTTCCATGAGTTTTACTAATGAGATGTAGTGAGTAATTTGCCTTATAATTGCCTTATAATCTGAAAATTACTTCATTGAGGTATTTTGAAAGTCTTTGCTTCTCAACATAGTGAGAATCACCATAGTTTGGTGATTTTTCCCTGGAAGAAAAATTTGTTCTGTATTACTCATCTTATATTCTTATTAAAAATAGACTATTTTGATTGTTTTTATCTGGCAAATCAATGTCTGTTCACTAAAAGAACAGTGATTTCTATTAAATACAAAGTTATAATGCATTAGAAAAAGGCTTTCCTTGTGTCAATATAAACATTTACTTTAAAATATGTTGGGGTTGTTTTCAGTAATGGATCTTCTAACTGTGGAGTAATATAAATACTGAAAAAGAAGGATATACTGGAAAAGAAGCAAAGAAAAATACAATTAAGTGATTATGATAAAACAGAAACCTGTGTGAAAGTAGGTAAGTAGAATGATGACTTATTTATAAAGCAAAGCATTTCAAACCTCACTATCCTGGAGAATTCTTGAGATTTGTTATTTCAGGATATTCACTTTTATCACACTGTGGCTTAATTCACATGAATTGTCTTGGTGATTTTGGTTTTATATGTTTCTTTAGAAAAAAGAAGAAAACCAAAACAACCTGCAGAGTTTTTTTTTTCCTCTAACCTTTCATTGGATTCCTTTTAAAATTCTGTTTTGCTGTTCATATTGTTCTCCACCTCTGTCTGATAAAATTCCCCCATCTCACTCATTGTTGCTGAGGTGCCTATCATAGTGATGCAAGAGTGGGACAGATGGTTAGGGCAGATGAAAGAGCAGATTGTACTGTTAGATTGCACAGTTATTTATGCCAGGGCAAAGGACAAGCAGGGGATTGCTTACCAGAACAACTGCTCTTATCTAGACATTTTACAGTGCTTTTGAAGCTTCATCTGCTGCTTGTAGTGTGTGTCATCACAGAGCCTTTGACTTTCATCAGCCCATGTGACCTGTGGTAGTGCAACATTTTCTCATTTGCAGAAAAGCTACTCTGCACTGCAGAGGGGTTACCTCCGTGTTTCTTATGTTTGGTCCTGCTATGAATGCTTCCTTTTTTCATGTGCATTTCCATGTCCTTTTTTATAGAAAACTTTTAGAGTGATTTTTGATGGTTTTTTTGTTGTTGTTGTTTTGTTTTGTTTTATGCTGACCTCATGTAGAGCTTTTACTTAAATTGTAAAATTATATTAGCATTTATATTTAGATCCATGCATTCATTTACATATTCTATAGAAAATATATATAGATAGGTAGTAAATAACTAGTAATAGTTGCACTCAAAATTTACCCTTATTTTTTTTTATACCATTACAATAATTACTCAGTAGTAGCAAACCATTACTTGTATCCATTTAAATCTTAAAACAAAAAAAACAAACAAACCCAAAAAACCTCCCATACATTCGTCTGAAATTTTTTTAGCAACCAGTGAAAACTGCAAGAGTTTGCCATATATACATGCCATATATATATATGCAACTTTTTCCAATATTTCTTCAATATTCTGCTCCATTTGTATAGGTATTAGTTTTACTTTATGTATAAATATAAGGTTTATATTTTTATAATATTATATATTATAGCTTTATACTTCTTTTAATAAATACAATTTACAATGTTCTATTTATATAATTTATAATCTTTATATTATAATGATTAATATGTCTTTATGTTAAGGAGTGACTTTGTGTCAGGAGATTATTAAAAAGAGAGTGAAAGAACAGTTAAAAGTGTGGGTCTTGTACTCCTGTTCAGGTGCTTATAAAACAAAAGCAAGGACTTATGTCTCTTCCTTTTCGCAGCTTAAAGAATAGGCTAGGCTTTTTGACCTATCTCATTTGCTAATCAGTCACACTCAGCTCCTCTCATGCCTCACATAAGAAAATTATATGGAGGTAGAAAGTTCAGTATTGTATTAGAATCATCTTTCTATATGAGAAATCACATTGGTGTTTTTCGTGTAGCTGGTTTGATTGCATGTGGGAATTGGCCATCTTTATATGTAGCTACTCCCCATTTATATTAATGACATATGAAAGTAGAAAAGAAAAACAACAAAAATGTATGCTTGACATTCAGAAGTTAAAATTTTCTTTTCCTTATGTATGTGTAGTAATTTTATAAGAATATATTCTCTCAAAAACAAGAAATGCCAGTATTGGTATCAGCTTATTTTCCTTTTAGTCTCTCTAATGGCTCTTCTAAGTTATTCTCCCAAATGGCCTAACCCTTTGGAAAAACATGCGAAAGGATGAGAGGATAGAAAGGAGATGTCTGTCTTCAAATTTTGCTTTTCATATAGATGACTGAAATATTGTGGACAGTATATCAGTTACAGAAGAGTATGCTTTAACTTCTGTGCTTCTAAACCTCTTCCATGCCTGAGCTGACTTCAATATAGTTTGGTCACTTTTCCCTGGACCTTCTGGCCTGAACCAAGGCTGCTCACTGCATTTTAGCCTATCACAGCAATTATATCACTTCAGTGTTCAACAGCAATTATATCACTTCAGTGTTCAACTAAGCTTGTCAGAACAGAAGCTTGTGCATGAACATTAAAAAAAGAACAGAGATTTAAGACTCTTTAAACATATGTTTAACATATTCAACCTATTTGCTCATATTGAACATGTTAAGCATTGGCATCTGGCAAGGGGTATCAGTTTTTACAACTGCCTTCTTTGGACTCTAGAGACAATTTCATCTTGCACATTCAGCAGCACTTGCCACTTCCAAAATTGGTGGCGCTGTTGGATATGTGTCTGCAGTATGCGTTTGCATCCCAGAGAGCCAAGCATATTCTGGGCTACATCAAAAGCAGCATGACCAGAAGGTCAAAGGAGGTGATTCTCCCCCACTACTCCTCTCCTGAGACCCCACTTGGAGTGCTGCATCCAACTCTGGGGTCCCCAGCAAAGCAAGGACATTGGCCTGTTGGATTGAGTCCAGAAGAGGGCCACCAAGTTGATTAGAGAGATGGAACACCTCTCCTATGAGGAAAGTCTGGGAGAATTAAGATTGTTCAGCCTGGAAGATAGGGGTGACCTAATTGCAGCCTTCCAGTACCTAAAGGGGGCCTGCAAGAAATCTGGAAAGAGACTTTTTTACAAGGGCATGAAGTGACAGGGTAATGAGGAATGGCTTTAAACTGAAAGTGGGCAGGTTTAGATAGGGTATCAGAAAGAAATTCTTTACTGTGAGGGTGGTGAGGCACTGGAACAGGTTGCCCAGAGAAATTGTGGATGCACCATTCCTGAAAGTGCTCAAGGCTGGGTTGAATAGAGCTCTGAGCAACCTGGTCTAGTGGAAGGTGTCCCTGCTTAGGTGCATGACCAGTTTTTGGTCAAAGAATACACATCACTAAAATAAAGACACGGAGATTCTATCTTTTTAGCTTAAAATAATTTCTTCGTTTTTTTCTTCCAAGTTTTAGAAATAAGTAAAGAAGACTTAGAATGTAAATATGCTGCCTTGCCAAAAAGGAAATCTCATTTCAGTCGAACTGTCTTCCATTGAAGTGGATATTGGTCTTTTCTCATTGTTCCTCAAGTAGTTTTCAGTGGGTGAGTTTATACAAATATAAATTATTTGTATAGTCACATAACTGACACTGCAGTCCAACAGAGTCAAAAGCAAATATTAAATGTAACACAGTCTATTATAGTAAATTCTACTGGGACTATGCATACAAATATCTTGTTTACATTTTCCTACAGAAGAATAATTGTAGGAGTAAGGTGGTTGACAGAAATGAACTGTGTCCTTTCAGTGGCTGCTGGACCTACTGAGAGTTAGTTTAGTTCAGTATGGCACCTTTGGACTAAATCTCATCTGCAGTTTTGTTGATGCTGTGAAACCATCTTATGCATGCGAAGTAGACAGGTGGTGAAACTAAACTGGAAGAAAAACGCAGTTTAGAAGCCAAAATAATAAGTAAAAGACTTGGAGATTCTCTGTATTTCGTGCATTGTAACCTCTTTTTCAAAATGTTACACTTGTGACTGAATCTCTCCACTGAGCGATGAAGCAGAAAACAGTTAGTATGCATCTGCAGTATTAGATTTGGGCCTGAAATAAGTCCAAAGTCAAATGCAGCACATATTCAGTGTTTCTAGGTGGTTATCAGCATATGAAATAGAGATTAAAAAAACAAAGCAGACAAAAAAAAAGGGGGGAAATCCAAACCAAACAAACATTAGTATTAATCTAGCTCCCTTACCTATGATTTGTGGTTTGTTGTGGTTTTTTTTTTTATAATGCTTGACAATATTTTTTTTTATGCTAACATAGCAGAAAGCAGAATTAGCTTTTTTCTCTCTCCAACCCATCTACTCTTTGATGAATGACTGTCAGAATTGATTTTGGTATGGAAAGCAAAATGACTCTTATGGTTTGGTTTTTTTTTGATTGATGGATTAATCTTATGTTAATACTAAGAATGTCCCATTATGAAGCCTTTCACTTTGGAAATATTCTGAAGCTGTAAAAATCTGTATGATTCTCAGTCTTTATTTCTAGGCCTTCAGAGAACTGTTTTCTGGAAACAAACAAAAAATTATGAGACAATTTGAAATTCTTAAATGTTTTGTTATTCCCTTTATTCACTGCCATTGTTTTAAAATTTTAGATTTATTTACTATGAAAACCAATTGTAGGAGCAGTTGTTCCAAGCCTTGTTGTAAGAGAAATAAAAATTGTAATCAGTCTTAAAGCATCTATATCTATTTGGAGACAAAAAACCCTCTTATCTAAGTTTTGATATATAGAGGATTAAAAACTATAAAACCTCTTATCGGAGTTTTGATATAATATATTTGGGATTAGAAATATTTGGCATTATGTTTTGTGGCCTGTTTATCAGCATTTACTAAGGATGCATTATTGGGGTACAACTCCACAGTCTGGGCTTACTTTCAGGCTACAGATTTAAAATGCAAAAAGGTAAATCCTGCAGTGCTTAAATATATTAAATATAAGTAAAAGGACTTTAAAAAGCAGATGAAATTCAGCAAGTCACTTGCTTCTATGGTCTAAATTTTACTTTATTTGGAAAAAAATGCTGTGTATTTGGGAAAGAAAGAAGTCAAAATACTTAAAGGAAGAATCTATGTAGGAGCTATGGCAACATTTTTTCTCTTTTCTAATGAGAAGGATACTGAGTAAGCAGAAGAGTGTATAAGGAGTATAAGATCATCTGGTACTTTTTATTTTCAGAAATTTAGTTGCAATAATGTGTATCTCACCTCTGAGGACTGACTAGAACATATCTGTTTAAACATTGTCTCAGGGTTATCTTATTTACATTACAGACCAAAGACAAAATTCTCTGTCTGCTATTTTTGCAGAATAATTGTAAATGGGGGCAGAGAATATGTGTGTTTCTGCTTATCAATTCTGACCTTTCTAAAATTTTAGGGCTGATGAAATTTCCCAAAAAGCATTTATATGAACTAATTAGGTGACATTTATATGAACTAAAGGTGACATTTAGATATGACATGATAAAGGATATTTCCAAAACCCCCTTAATTTATGTTGCAAACCTGCTAGTATTTTCATTTGTATCTCTATAGGTAGTGTGGGAAGATCCTGAAATAGGTTCCAGTTTGTGTTGGGTTGCTATATATATTTATTCTGTTGGCTTCCTCAGAATTTACATTAGTCTGACATTATCCAGAGTGAATTTCAGTCTCAAAAAGATCTCAGGCAGGGCTCCAAACTCTTCCCTTTGAACTCTTGAGATGATGTAAACTCACTGACTTCCATGAAGTTGATACAAATTTATATTCCGTCTTTTTGCCTTCTGAGTGAAGATTTTTTTAATATGTAAGAGTATATGTCATATCTAGCTGTTAGATGTAAGTATACAATATATACTGCAGAGCCTTTCATGTTAATTCAGTGTAGTCAGTAGTGGGTGTGACAATGAGGTGTTACTGTTGTAAAGAGATCAAAAATAAACAGTACCGACTCACCACATGCTTCTTTTGCTCTGGTGTGGCAGCAGCAGAAATGGGGACTGGTCTGGCATCTTGGGGCCCCTCATTTGCTGTTTCTTACCCATCACTCTCTTTGCCCCACTGGCTCTCTGCAGGGGCTCCTAGTGGCTTTGCTAAAAGTTGGGCTGAACATAAAACACAGTTTGGCTAAGTTTTATTAGAGTGCGCTTTCTGACCAATGGTAATAAAACTAAAGTGAGTGAAAACGGGAGAAAAGAGGAATGGACAAAGTACACGTAAATCATACTATAAGATCACCTGTCATTCTCAAGTAGTTTATTCTGTTTTGGAAAAGGAATGCCAATATTAAAGATTCCATATGATGACAACTGATTTATACTGTAACTTTTATGGTATCTTTACGTCCTATGTGTGTACTTAGAAGAACTGATATGAAATATATGAATTCTCTTCTTTGGTTCATCTAAAGTTCAGAAAAATAGAAAGAGCTGTCATTTCAAAGACAGCTTCTTCACTCCAGAGATATGCTGAGAGCACAGCGTATATCCTATCAAAGGGGTATTCCCACATACTTGTCTGTGTATCTCAAGCATTTTCAAATATACAACTGACTTTTGCACCTGTTCTCAAAGCTTGCATCTCTTCCGGCTTTCCTTTTGTGTAACCAAACCAGAGCACTGGGGGGACATGGAGGGACAACACAGAAGAACTAGTGACAACCCAGGGGTAATTGATCGGGTGCCCTCTTTAGTAGTTCGAGGAAGGGTGTAAACAGCAAAACAACATCAGAGGGGAAATGGTGCTTTTGAATCTTACTTTGTCTTACAACGTCAGGTTTTTCCCAGCTCTAACAAAATGGAAAATTGGTTTTAGGGAGCATTTTATATAACAATGGTTTTTACATAACTCTCCTTTGCTAACTTTTCTTATTGCTGAGATTACTCTTGTGAAATTCTTTGTGTCTTGGAGTTTTCTCATCACTAATAGGAATTTTTGCATTCTCAGAGGTATGTAACCTTGAAGTACAATTACACATGAAGAAATATTAGAGCAGCAGTAAGAGCTTGAAATATAACCATCACTACATAGAAAGTCAGAGATAAGTGTGAATAATAGAGCTGGTAAATTCTTTACCCATACAGAAATGTCTAAATAATGAGGTGTTTTCAAACAAAGCCTTCAATTCCTATTAAAAATGAGAATTCCATTGTGTGTCTGGTTTTAAGGAATTATTCTCTGTCACCTCTTGCTTAGAGTCCTCTCTCCGCACGTCCTTCTGCCAGCAAATTGAAACTGGACACTGTTCAGATTGGTTTGAATTTGAGTTTTTGTTTTTTCCTTACAGGGAATTTCTCTCCCATTATCCGCTGTTGGCACAACCAGTATACAAACAGTCAAGATGGCAAAGACAATAAAAAAAGGCTTAGCTATTCTCCAATGCTTTATTTAATTGAAATGATACATGGCGCAATTTAAATTTCACTAACATATCTGCAGTCAAAGATGTTTTGCTAAGCATGGCTGACACACAAATGTTTAACGGACTAGATTTTATTTTTTTTGTCAGAAATGTGTGTCTTGCCGCAACAAAAGGCTCAAACGATTTTGCCAGGATGTAGCCATGTGACTAAATGTTTTTCTCTGTTTAATACCTAAGCAGCTCTTGGCGCTTTTTTGTTTTGTTTTGTTTTGTTTTCGATCTACGTTCAGCTTGTGTAGCCTTGCCAACACAGAAGTTGCCAGCAACTCTGAATGTCCAAATTTTAATTTAGTTGAAGTGCAAAATGGCTGTTAATAATGATTTTTGGATTTGAGGAATTTAGCAGATTGTTTTAATGATCCATGCTAATTTACTGATTTTGCAATTTAATATGTTTCATTTTGCAAAACCTTAAAGAAGACACTAAAGTTAATTGGAACTGTGTTATAATTTCATGGATACCCCTTTTTTTAAGTGCATCAGAAATGAGGATGAATAGTTTTCTCATTACAAAAAAATTTCTGTGATCTGACATTCTTCTTACCAACAATCAGTATCAAGTATGTGATTATGCATGAGTTACATCTGTAATATATATTATATTTCAGTTTGAGCTAAAAGTGGTTAAGATAATCATTGAATACAACAATAATCAGCGAAGTACTGAATTTTAATTAGATTTTTGTGTAAAATAAACCAGTAGAACAAGGGGAATTCACTGAACTGAAATTTTTGTAACTGTTAGAAGTTATTAAAAATAGGTATTTAGAATGCATTCTATTTCTTAGGTAATGTATGCCAATTAATTTGCTATTCTGAAGGTAATACTGCATTAATAAATACTTTTATCTAGTACAATTTGATAGATTAAAATTGCTTTAGCAACTGCGCTTTTTGTGAAAATATTAACCAAGCTATGTGGTTGATGTTTTTAAAAGCTTAATCCAGAGGCATACAGAAGATTTGTTGGAACACTGAGGGGACGTACAGTTACACTCAGAAGCAGCAGTTACACTCCATCTGCAGTTACACTCAGAAGCAGCCAAGAACCAGATCAGCTCTTAAACTGAGTTTTTGACTTGCTCTGATGTAATAGGTATGCTAGTTTCAAATCCAAAGAGTA